CTCTTGAAAGAATATGGAAAGAGTTGGTATGACGGACCCGAAAATGACTTTGAAATCGAAATTGATTTCGACAATCCGGAACCAGAAAATACATTACTTCCTCTGGAGTCCGAGGCCAGCACGAGTCAGTCTACTGGTCAATCGCAAAACGACTGTCTGGGAATAATTGACAAGATAGCTAATAGACTGAAGAATTTTAAACCGTCTAATCGCCAGCCGCCAGTTCATTTCTCTCCTGAAAGCGATGACAATGATGATGAACCTGTAGAAAAACTCAATAAATCTGCAGGTAAATCTAAAAACAGAGCTAGAGCTAGAGTTTCTTTTGATACAACCAAGGGTAATGTATCAAATGAGTTTCTTGCATCACAATATCCATTAGCTAAGAGATTTAAATGTAATTTAAACCCCTTCACAGACCCCCGATGTTTCCTATCCAGAGCAGACGGCGAAACCTCTAGAAACTGTCTTACAATACAACTTCCTAAAATAGATAATGTATTCAGTCAATTAAAAGAATCCAATACAATCACCACGAATTCTGAAACTTTACATAATATTTCTAAATCATCCCAAGAACCATCAGATACAATTCCTGGACCTTCGGATACAGTTCCGGGACCATCAGATTCAGTTCCGGGACCATCAGATTCAGTTCTGGGACCATCAGATTCAGTTCTGGGACCATCAAATACAGTTCCGGGACCATCAGATTCAGTACCAGAACCTGACAAATTTATCATTCCTCTTTACAAGAAAAAGAAGAAGAGGCCTGGTCGATTTGGAGCGTCAAGAAAACGTAAACACATCAAGGCACCACGTGATATCAAGCTAGAGGTGTTTGAATACAAGGTGGAACCTATTTCAGAACTACACAATCTGAAGAATACGAAAGAGGCGAGTCTGAGTCTTACAGAGGAAGGGTTTGGTGACCATCTCTTTTTTAAGTCCGAAAAAGTAGAACGAGAGATGGACACCGATATATCGGATAAAGATCAACAAAATGCGGTAGATTGGAGTGTGGTGATGAACAATGACTCAGATGAAGAGCAGCCAATTGTGTCTGAAGGTGTTGATGAGAACTCGATGGTCAGCGATGTAGAGGACTTTTGTTCACAACTGGACCTACCACTGGATGACGATTATATTCAAGATAATGTCCATAGTTTGTCATCCAATGACGCATCAGAAGATGAAATTAATTCCACCCGAGGCGACTCTGGAATCGTATTGAGTTCCAGAAGCATTACGGAAGACGAGTTTAACAACCAAGATGGTGATAGTCGACCAAACTCCGCTGCTCTGGATTTTCTTTCCATCACCAATATAATCACCAATATAGCTAGCACGTCCATTAAGATTGAACCCATTGAGTCACTCATCCCGGATCATACCAGTGAAAATATGTGTGAAGAAGATATCCCGAAAATAAACTTTACATCAACCAAGTTGAAGATCAAACAAGAACCCTGCGATAAAGATAATGATGTATCTTCAACGGAAACTTCCGAAGTTTTTTCAGCTAGTGAAGAACCAACAGTGCTAGTTCGCGATCAAGAGCCGAGTGTATTCTTTTCACAGAGCGATTTAGATCTGGAAGACCGAGCTCCTACTCTGAAGGGTGAGACTGTTTCGAGCGATTCGTCGTTTCAATTTCAAAATGTTAATCTGTACGATGGTAAAGTCGATCTAAAGGTTGTTGATGACCAGACCAAAACAATCGTGGATGATTTGTTACAGAAACTTAACAATAAGAAAGAGAAGGAGGCGAAATTAACCAGGGTGTATTTCCTAGAAAAACCAAGCGGCCCTACACAATATTCTTGTATCGTATGTAATGAAGGATTCCATCATACAGCGATGCTGGAAGAACATCAGAAATATCATAATAAACAGAAGCCTTTTCGCTGTCCAATTTGTTTTTCTCAGTTCCAGGAATATACCACCTATACAGGTCATTTGACCCAACACGTGGGCAAAAACACGAAAATCTGTTTCATGTGCGGATATCGTACCTCAACATGCCGGACATTAACTATTCATTTTAAGTCTCATCATAAAAAAGAAGAAGTCGAATCCTCGAGAAATTCCACTTCACCAACAAAAACTAGTAGCCCCGTGCCATCAAAAACTAGAACTAGTAGCACCGTGCCATCAAAAACTAGAACTAGTAGCACCGTGCCATCAAAAACTAGTAACACCGTGCCATCAAAAACTAGAACTAGTAGCAGCGTGCCATCAAAAACTAGTAGCACCGTGCCATCAAAAACTAGTAACACCGTGCCATCAAAATCTAGTACTACTGTGGCCACACAACTTGATGCGAACAAAGAAGCAGCCACGTGTAGGACTGATCTAACAGATCGGTTTAAATGTGAACTGTGTCAACTAATTTGTGTTGATAGTCAACATTTAAAACGACATTTACTGTCTGATTGTAATGTGGTTAAAGGTGCTCTGAGACGAACTGTGAGAACATGATGAACATGATGTAGTTATTGGAATTTTTAAATTCTAACAGTATTTCGTATGGTGTAATGTGTTGAGAAAGTTGCTCGATGACAAGGTGACTAGGGGTAAAGACTGCAACTTTAGTTTCTTAAAAAAGATGATATATTGAGAAAGTTTCTTCAATTGAGTGTTAAATTAAGAAATTAATTGTTAGTTATTGAATATAGGAAATGATTTTGTATTCAGAATGTTATATATTTGTATATTCCTCACCCTAGTCCGATCAATCTGGTACTTCTCGTTTCTCGGAAGTTGTGTAAGTATATCACGTTTGGGGACGGGTAGGGCCAGATTTTTCGGACTACCCACACTCTTGTTGATAAATTGAAAATCGGTTTAAAACAGTAGTTAGCCTTAAAATAACTTCGCACTGATAAAATGGAAACTTTTGTAGGTTTCATATATGTCTTAATTGTTTCAAAGTTTGGCCGGAAATTATTTAAATTTTGATTTCCTCGAATTCATTGTAAGATTATCATTACTATTTTGAAGCCGATATTCCAATTCACATAAAATTAGTTGAAGAACTGTGTGAAGACAGTGCAGAGATCTACTGAAGTACTGGTGATATACATCACGAGTTTATTTAGAATAGGGCTTGATGAAATGATATTTAGAAGAGGGCTTGATGAAATGATATATAGAAGAGGGCTTGATGAAATGATATATAGAAGAGGGCTTGATGAAATGATATATAGAAGAGGGCTTGATGAAATGATATATAGAAGAGGGCTTGATGAAATGATATATAGAAGAGGGCTTGATGAAATGATATTTAGAACAGAGCTTGATGAAATGATATTTAGAAGAGGGCTTGATGAAATGATATATAGAAGAGGGCTTGATGAAATGATATATAGAAGAGGGCTTGATGAAATGATATATAGAAGAGGGCTTGATGAAATGATATATAGAAGAGGGCTTGATGAAATGATATATAGAAGAGGGCTTGATGAAATGATATTTAGAACAGGGCTTGATGAAATGATATTTAGAAGAGGGCTTGATGAAATGATATATAGAAGAGGGCTTGATGAAATGATATATAGAAGAGGGCTTGATGAAATGATATTTAGAAGAGGGCTTGATGAAATGATATATAGAAGAGGGCTTGATGAAATGATATTTAGAAGAGGGCTTGATGAAATGATATATAGAAGAGGGCTTGATGAAATGATATATAGAAGAGGGCTTGATGAAATGATATTTAGAACAGAGCTTGATGAAATGATATTTAGAAGAGGGCTTGATGAAATGATATATAGAAGAGGGCTTGATGAAATGATATATAGAAGAGGGCTTGATAATATTTAGAAAAGAGGGCGTGGTCAATATTTGACACGTTTTTTTTTTATTTGAAAGCGGGTAAGATAAAGTTAATGACGTTCTCCAGAAGGCAAAAGCGGCGGCGGGGGGTGTGTTATTGGGGTGCAAAAAAAACGAGGCGCTTTGTGGCCATTCTGGGTCTGGTAATCCCATAAATAGGGTTATGAATGGATTCAGATAATGATGTACATTGTAAATGACTGTAAACCAATGCAAGTCATACCGGCGTCGACGGTTCCCGAATCGGTCGAAAGTTTAGTTAAATAAGGTTATCAGTATAGGTCAATGATAAAATCAGTCTCCACACCCATATTAATATCAATATATAGACATGATAGATATAATTATACACATATCAACCTGCTTCTTATACACGTATAGAACATCTGATAACCAGCCGGTGTAAAATTAGACACCCCTAGCCGAAAGTAGTTCTATTGACCTCTGTCCTATTGCCACGACATGCCAGACGTCCTTCCCTTATGATTCCATTAACCAATTCACCAGAATTGTAAGAAACTCTATGGGACACCTGTAGGGCCTACTATTGGAATTATAGCAGACGTCAACTGTCTGTCATTAAATACCTGATGTACAATTATTGCAAATCTCCGTTCTATTGTGACCAATATCAGATATCAGTATTATGGGGAAACTACAAGAGACAGCTGTTTTATTGCCATCTACAATGAATGCCGATACGATATAAACCTATTACAGACTTCCGTTTTACTGCCACATATTGTACATTATTTTTCTGATAGAGTTGGTCGATATTATCGAAAAAAAAAACGTAGAAAAAAAACCAGGACGATACGATATGTAAATTTCATGTAAAATTTTGCATATCCCATTTTAAACAGCTATGTTTTCAAGCCTGAATTACGCCCACGCTATACGATAAGTACTATTTAAAGTTAAAATAGTACGCAATGCCACTATAATTGCTATAAGGATGTATTCCTAAACTTAATGAGTGTTTCTAGTAAAATCTTATTATTATAATATGGATCATATCCTTCCCTAACTGGAAAAATAACAATGATTTCAGTTTGGATTTAACAATGCACTGTTTATAAATAGAACAATGAGAATTACCTATTTGTCATCAAATAAGGCGAATTTCTATTGAAAATTGAATTGAGAGATTCTGTTTTTTAGTTATGATACCAAGTAAATCCACTGATGAATATAATATACTATTATTGGCCCAGTTTGATAATTTTATTTCAATTTGAAGAGAAGTATTGCTTTTTAAACAGAGCTGAAAAACCAAATCTCATTATAACAGAGGTGTTATTTTATTTTATTTTCTAATTTCAAATATTTTATATCATTACATTACAATAGAAGAACAAGACGATGAAATATAAGAAAGATATAAGTCATTAAGTAATAAGGATACCAAATGTTCTTGTTATTTGTGATCATTATTATCTATTATAGAACTCGACTGTCTGCAGATTATTCGTTTTTTTATAACCACTAAAATTGTCCCTTAAAATAATCTGACAAATGACGGCAATATGGATCTAGTTTCTTATAAGAGAAATAGAAAGATGATTAATGACGAGTATAATATTTACAATGAAGGGTTGTTTTCTGTATTAAAACTTCAACTTGTGTTAATTATCTGAACTCCCTTAACTTGTAATCAGTAGGAAGTAAAACTCCATTCATTCATTAACTTATAATCAGTCAGTGAGTTGTGTTGATTATATTTATTTTAACTTAGTTTAGTTATTATTGAAGTCAGAAAGACAGCACTAAAACTGTCGTGTGTCAAAGAATGGGCAGTGATTGCGGCTTATTCTAATCACTAAAAACAGAGACTGGTTCAACTGGTGCTTGTTACAGGTATGTTAATCGTAATAGACTTCTGTCGGACTGAACCTCTAAAGATATAGTTTCCTTTTTGCGTTTGCCCCTCCCCCCCTTTCAAGAAAACTACAGATATGACTCTGAATAAAATTGCATGTAAGTTGATATAACCTACATATGGTGCGTGTTAGATAATATTTTTGATGACCTGATAAATTGATGTTATTTCTCTAAATAATGAGACCTAATTACCTTTGTTCATCTTGATAATATTTCTGTTGTGATGTTGATTGCATTTAGACAATTAGATGGGGTATTGATGTTTTAGAGAAAAAGTGAAAAGAGTTCATTAATCAGGACGTAAGGAATTGTTATCATTTTCAAGGTTTTTTCGGCCTGGGCCACTGCTTTTATTGAAACTCGTATCAATACATCCTAACACTGTATATGATATTTAACCCTATGTTTAATTTGATTTTAACTTGGATTTATAAACTGTACTGGTACTATCTATCCGTTAAATAGGAATGGTCAAATTTCTCACCAATTACAATAACCAATATCAATTTCATCAGATTGTTCCTAATTTTTACCAACCTTCTCTTTCAGCTTTGTCACTTAACGTCTTTTACAAGAAGAAAGCAAATCTCTTAATCACTCAAACAATACAATGACTGTAGTTTGAGATCTAATTCAGATGACAGCGATTGATCTAACCTTTGTTAATTGATCTAGAAATACGCTAAATGGGGTCAACTAATTAGGTCCAATCTAAATTACGTGTATCTATGTAACCTGCTATATATATAAAATTACAAGCTCCATTATCTATATATCAGATTGCTGTATTTATATTGCTTAGGGCTGGTTTTAAAATTACATTTGGACTGTGAATTCTGAAGTGAATTGTTATTCTCAGTTAAACAGTTAAAATGGATAATTCAGGTACGTCCATTCAACGTTTCTAAATATTACCATCAACTGAAAACTTCAAAAAGCTAACGGCGGACTGAGGTTCGCCAGTCTGTTTGATTGTTAGATGAGAGCACCGACGACTAAAAATTCTCAATGAATCTCATCATTATTATTCGTTGCTATCAGTTGCTCTCATATTTTATTTTCTTGTTGGCTCGATTGATCTATTGGCTATGCTGTGGA